TTCTGTGTGTGAATTATACTTCTAGCATCAAGTCTAAGAATGCATTGCCTGATCCTAGATCCTGAATATTTTATGTTTTTTCTAAAGGTTTTTCAATTCTATGCGTAAGGCCATGATTCACTGTGAGTTAATGGTTGTAGAAGGCATGTAACTTAGGTTGCAATTCATTATTTTTCCTCTGGCTGTCTGGCTGCTCCATTGCTATTTTTTGTAAAGACACCCCTACCCCTTTGAACCCTGCTGGTACCTTTGCCAGAAGCTAGCTGCGTTTCTTGGTGTGTTTTGTATGGGAGTTCTGTTGCATTCTGTTTCTATGTCCTTCTCCCTGCACCAGAGCTAGGCAGTCCCACTAATTGTAGCTAAATAATAAGCCTGGAATGGGGTAATCCAATCCTTGCTTTGTTGTTCTTTTGCAAATTGTTGTAGTTAATTCTTGCTCCTTTGCCTTGCCATGTAAAATTTAGAACTATGGTGTCTATATCTACATAACTGTCTTGCTGAGAGTTTTGAGTTGTGTTTAGCCTTTGGTTCAGTTTGAGAAGAACTGACATGTTGTATTGAGTTTTCCAATCCGTGAACAGAGCTTCTCTCTCCATTTATTTGGATCTTCTTTGATTCCTTTCCTAAGACCCGGTATTGTTGCCAGCTAGCATGGTTTAGTAGAAATGGACTTGTGGGTGTAGCTGATTGTTCCTGTAAACCTCTAATCTTGGTGTCCTCAATCTTGAAGAGGAATGAGATCGTGTAAATTCAGGGCTTTTCAACTCTGACCAGCCAGAGTCCCTAAATGATCAGAACACCCTAAGTACAGATGAGGAAAAAATTGACCCAAGATTTACAGTAACAAAGGATACAAAGTGAAGGTCAGGCTTTGTTCTGCTTTTAGTTACCTACTGGGCATCTTTAGGCACAAGTAAAGAGTCATGCTCCTTAGCACAAATGGCTGACTGTCCCAGAAGAATATGCAAATCATGCTTTTGATGAGTAGAAGTATGGCCCAGAATTCCGTCTATTTCTCATCCCCACAGCGGTCTCTGACTATGTCACAACTGCATGAGTATCAGGGTATTATTTGCTCCACATAATGAAGTGGAAAGTGATGTTGCCTCTTCTGTTTTCTGGCAGGGATAATATAGAGTTGGTATCAAGTCTTCTTTTAATCCTTTACTGCCCAATAAAACCATATGGGTTTGGAAATTTATTTTTCTTATAAAACTCAAAGTTGTACACAATTTCCTTAGTAGTTACATGGAAGTATTCAAATTACCTGTTCATATTGGGCCAGTTATAATAGTTTCTAGTTTTTGAACAATTAAGCCTATTTTGTCCATATTGTCAAATGTACGTGTGTGGAGCTGGTCTTGGTGTCTGTGGTGAGGCCTTCTTGTGTGGGTCAGCTTGGCTTCCCTTTTCTCTTTATCCATCTTGCTAGGGTTTTGTTAATTTGATTTTCACATTGTTTCACTGAATTTTGTGTATTATCATTTTTAATTTTTTCTGTTCTTGTGTTCTTGCATTTAAAAATGATGTAATCGAGCAAGGGATTTAGCTCAATGGTTCCACCAGCCTGCCTCACAAGCACAAGGACCCGAGTTTGATCCCTGGTACAAAAGATGATTTAATTGACATTTTTATTCCTTTATGAGGTGCAGTATAACTCAGCACACGTACATAGTGTGCTGTGATCAAATCAGGTCAATCAGCATTTCTGTCTCTTCACATATTATCATATCTGTGTATTGGGAACCTTCAAAATCTCTGGTAATTTTGTAATATTAAGTGTTTAGTTTAATTATGTAGAAAATAGTTTGTGTTGTACCTTGTACTGTCTAACCTTAGGGCTACTCTCCCCATCCCCTGTGTTTTGGTACCTGTTCTCCTCCTCACTATTTCTGGACTTCCTATCCTCCCTAGCCTCTACTGAACTCTGTTCTACTCTCTGCTTCTAGAGGATCATCTGTCTTCATTTCTGCAAATAAGACCATATAGGACTAGTCTTCCATGCCTGGCTCATTTCATTTAATGCAAAGTCCTTTAGTTCTATCTATCTTGCCTCAAATACTTGCACAAATTTTGCTCTCCTTTTTCTAGCTTCTTAAGGTGGAAGTTGAAACTGATCTGAGACTCCTCATCATTTCTGAGATGTACATTCAGTGCCACAAATGACCATAAGCAATGAAAAAGAATGTATATTCTGTTGTTGGGTGGAATATTCTATAAACACTTCCCTTGGTTGGGGGTGTTGAGTTCTTCTGTTACCTGGCTGATATCCCTGTCTTGTCTGTTCTGTCAGTTGTCAAGAGATTTGTTGAAGTCTCCAAATATAAGTGTAGATCTTCTCCTTCACATTGCCCTTTTATCATTTTCAATGTTCTCTGTGGTGATTTTCCTTGTCCCTGAAGTCTACTTTACCTAATATTAATATAGCCATGCTTGCTTGCCCTTGAATTATGTTTGTATAATATATTTTCCATCCTTTTACTTTCATCTTGCCAATGTCAGTGTGTTATAGACCTCATAAATGTGTCTTTTAAAATCTGTTGTTTCACCCTCTTTCTCTCTCTTTTAATTGGTATATTTAGACCATTTATATATATTGCAATTATTGATATGTTAAGGCTTATGTTCTTTCAGGTTTTTCTTTTTCTTACCTGCATGTGGCTTATTTGCATACTTTATTTGCATTCTATTTTTTAAATTGAGTTTATTAGTACATTTTAGGGATACAGTACAGTTACATTCATTGTTAGGATCTTGTACCTCTACATGGCAGGTCTTGGTTCTCATTTTTTCCCCTTGTATTTGCATTCTATTTTGATTTGTTTGTATTCAGTAGTGTTTTCGAGTGCATTTCTTTTAATAGCTTTTTAAGTGGTTGCTCTGGGCATTATGTCATATATATCTAACTTTATCACCATTACTGTGATACTAATTCAAGTAAAATGTATTCCTTTTATGAATCTTTATCTTCCCCCATTCATTATTGTAAAATATTTCCTCTATGTCCATTTAGAAACACATAAGAATATGTTATATGTTATAATGCTGAGCATAATTTAGGAAACTTGAAAAGGGAAGGAAAGCTTCTTATATGTACCTTTTTTTTTAACCTACTGTATTCTTTGTGATGTTCCAGCCTTGCCTCTCTTGTTTCTTTTTGGAGAGATTTCTTTAGCCATTCTTTTAGAACAGATCTATTGGCAAACAGTTCTTTCAGTTCACCTTCAACTGAGAATATCTTTATTTTTCCCTTTATTCTTAGACTACTTTTGCTGAATAGATTTACACATTAATAGTTCTTTTCTTTCATCACTTGACAAATTGTGCAAAATTCACCATTTTCTTTTGGCCTCCATGGTTTGTGATGAGAAAAACAGTTATTCCAATTGCCTCTCCCCTGTGTGTAAGGTTTCATTTTCTTTTGCCTACTTTCAGGACTGTTTTTAGTCATTTTCAGAAGTTTGATTATGATGCATTTTGATGCTATGAATTTTCTTGTGTTTATCCTGTCTGGGATTCATTCATCTTCTATAGTTTTGTATCTCTTGCCACATTTTGGGAAATTTTGAGTACTTTTTCAGACCCTGCCTCTTTCTTCTGACCTTGTGGGATTCCAATGAGTTGAATGTTATATGTTTTGTTATAATCCCACAGCTCTCTGAGGCTCTGCTTATTTTCAGTCTGTTTTTCTGCCTGTTGCTCAATTTGGGTGATTTCTGTTTTTCCATTTTCCAGTTCACTGACTGTTTTCCTCTAAACTTTCTGTTCCTCAGTAGAATCCATTCACTAAGCTTTTTATTTCAGTTACTATAATTTTCAGTTCCAGTATTTCCATTTGGTTCTTTTCTGTCTTTGCTAAGATCTCCTGTTTCTTTGCTGCATCTTATGTTTTCTCTTCTGTTTCTAGCATGTCTGTAATTGCTCACAGCAATGTTGTTATTATGGCTACATTAAACTCATCTCCATTGCCTTGGTATTGGCATCTACTCATGGTCTTTTCTCTTTGAGATCTTGCTAATTCTTGGCATGATGAGTGATTTTCTACTGAAACATAGACATTTCTGTACTGTGCTGTGAGATGCTAGATCTTATTTAAATTTAACTTCTTGCTTACCTGGTATTTTCTGGTCAGGGAACCACCTCACTCCTTCCAGTTGGAAATGAGTCCAGATGCCCCAGCTGGCGTCCATTGATGCCTACATTGGGAGCCTCCTGTTACTGGTAGGGTCCATGGGAGTTCTGGCCCTCCATATGGTATCCACTGACACTGAGGTAGGTGTAGCCTTGTTACTGTTTAGCAATGGTGAGCATCCTGATTCTCCACTTGCCATCTTCTGACATCAGCCTGTATGTGAAGAACAGTGTCTTGTGACTGCAAGGCAACTCTGGTGATCCAGACTGACCACACTGGCTATACCAACACTTGGAGTGAAAGGAGGATTTGTTATTGATGTTGGGATATCCTAGCTTTCTGTCTTGACTTACTTGACATCACCCAGGCAGGAGTTGAGGTACCTGGTTGTAGGCAGGCAGAGTGGAAACCCAGGCTTTCTTCTCAGCCTTGCTGCTGAGCATGAGGTGCCTGTTCTTAGTATCTGGCTGGCTGGAGCAGTTACTGCCCAAATGTCTTGTCCTGTTGGGCTGCTCTTTCTGGTCCTTTGACTAAAGAGGCCAGGCTTTTCTTGTGGCTTTCCTCTGCCTTCCAGGGTCTCAGGAACCCAGGAGATGAGCAGAACATGAAGCATTCACACACACACACACACACACACACACACACACACACACACACTTCAGGGTTGAGTTTGTTTTTTGTACAGAATTTGGGTAGCTGGTAATACTCTGTGTAAGGAAGAGAGACAAGTGTGTCTCTTCCATCTGCCTGCAAGCAGGAGTGGAGCCTTTGGCTTTTAGCTTAGGAAACCAGAGTCTGCATGCAGTTTGAACATGGGCCTTTCAGCAGCCATGTCTGATGGTGCCCTGGCTTCCTTTTGTCTTCTCAGGTCTGAAAGCCTCTCCAGTCTCCCTGCTGTGGCCACCCAAGGCTCAGGCAGCGTGTGTTCCAGAAAGCCTGTCTGCAGGGTTTCTTCTACCACTCTTCTGGTGAGTAAGAATATGGTTCCCTTGTCCTTGGTACCTCCAAGCCATGACCATGGTTCATGTTTGGGCCACCTCACACACTTCATACCATGGTCAGGGAAGTGTCAGTTCATGAGGTTGGACCACATGCTCATGTGGAGTGGGAAGAGTAAGGACAGAGTTGTCCTTGGGGACAGGGAAACAAAGCTGCCCCCTGGTATCTAGGTGGCACACAAATGGTATGGCCTTGGGTGGGAGGGACTTAGAGGGACTGTGGCATAAGGCCCTAAGTCTGCTTCTTGTCTCTGCTCCATGGTGTCCTAGCCACTGTTCCTATGCCATACTCAGTGTGGCTGTAGACAGGTGGGTGATGGAGGTGCCTCCAGCCCCCTCTGCCATTGCTGCATGTATCAGGCCATACCTGTTGGTGCCTGGGTGCAGGAAACCTATAAGGAAGCCCTGGGCCTGTGTTTCAAAGAGTCTGTATTTCCTGAACTCACTGTCTAGTACCTGTCTCCCTTTTACCAAGTTCCACTGTGGGCTTCATGGTACCATCTCTTATTGTGTGGCTTATGTCAGCATTGGCTAAATGTCTTGGTGATCTTGATCTTTGTTGCCACTGGTTCCATGGGGAAAGTAAAAATGTCCTCTTCTCAGTGAAAGGCAGGCTCTCACTACTAGATTCCCACTTGTGGTCTCCTGAGGGCCTGCCTAGCCACATGAGGGGCTCTTTCTGGTGCATGGCCCTGCCTCTGGCATAGGCCTGTGCACTGAGGACTGTAAAGGTGGATGTGTATGGTCTTGAGCATTTTCTCAACTGGCCTAAGAAACCATTTTAGACAGTTTTCCTAATTGTCACCCACAATGAGAGCTCATTATGCGGCAGTGCTGCTTGTCTGTGTTCTCATGTATGTCTGTGCCCCTGCTGTCTGCCCTGGTGAGACTGTGTGCCCAGGGGTTATACACACAGCAGGCAGGAACAGAATATGATGATGAGTGCTCCAGGGCCCCAGCCCTGGTCACCATAAGCTATGGGGGTGCCTCCCATTTGGTTTTCCTTCCCAAATGCCACAGTTCACCAATCCTGTCTGAAATCATTTGGATCTTTCCAGTGCCCTTGCTTGACTCTTCTCTGCATATATCCTCATGTGTGTGTAGTCTTGGAGCCACTGCCCAATCTCTGCTGTTAGCTCCCTTCACCCAGTCAGGGTATAGATAGATAACAGGGGGCAGAGGCTCTATGGAAAATCGTATTCCCCCCATTCCTCCTGTCCCAGCCATGTGGACACAACCCATTCTCCATGTTCCCTCCTGTCCTGGGCCAGTGCTGAATGTTATCCCTTGGTAGGAGCCACCTGTACAGTCCATGGTACCTGTTCATGTGACACCCAGTGGACAGGAGGATGGGGAACCCATAGAGCAGAAGGTGCCCACCCTTTATTCAGGAGGTGGGGTGGGCCTTGCAGGGAAGGGGAGCGTCTGTCCAGGTCCCCTTGGTGGCAGAACATGTGGTCTGTGGTTGACCACCTCTACCTTCTTGGGCCTGGGCCTCACCAACCGCTATAGCTGGTGTCCAAAGGTAGAGTCCAAAGACCACAGTGCAGTAAGTTTTGGTACCTAGCAGGTTGGCACCATGGCCTGGAACTCATAGTTTATCCCCAGCCTGGCCTCCCTGAGCCTCAGTGTGTAGCAAGCCTTTCTTCCTTCTGGCATCCTCAAAAGATGACACTTGACCATTACGCTGTGCTTCGCCTTGTCACCATGATGGATCCATGATAAAATGCTGCTGCATTGCTCTGATACTTTCACATTTTTCACTAGGGAACCACTGTTAGTGCCCAGATGGGACAGCACTTGATTTCAGAGCATTCATCCCCACTCTGGTGGTCACTAGCATCAGTGAGGGAGAAACAAGAAGAAAGCCCATCTGTGCAGCCAGGAGTGCATGTGTTTTAGGGTCATTCTCCTGGCTGGGATGTTTTCACCACATCCACCCTGATTTCTGGGACAGGGGAGATGGTGGTCCTAAGGAAGGTCTGTCCAAAAGAGCATCCTAGTGCTCTTCAGCTTTGAGAAGGATAGGAATCCTGCATCGTGAGTGAGCTCAGGATGCTGGTCCTCTAGAACCTGAGGCAGAGCTCCTGAGACAGGGCTGGGATCCCAGTGAGGGAGAGCCTGTTTAACTAGGCTAAGATTATATGGGCTTTTTTCCACTTCACTTGCTGGTCCTATATCCTCAGGTGGCTCTATTCTGCCCTTTCAGGAACCTCAAAGATACCCTGCTCCCCTGGTGACCTCCTGATGTCCTAAGGCCTCCGTTTGCCCTTTAAGACCTGTGTGTGGGGCCTCACATCCTGAAGCTAGGCTGCAGTGTCATTTTGCAGTGGGAGCATTGACCACAGGTTAAACCTTGGAGAATCCTGGGTTTCAAACTTTGTGTACTGATCACCCTCATGCTGTGTCAGAAAATTGCCCTCAGGGGGTAATTTAGTTAGTAGCCAGGATGTCACATAATTAGCAGCAGAAGGGTTCCACTTTGGAGTAATGGAATTAATTTACAATGGTGCTAATTCCTGTTTATTATTGAAGACATTAGATTAGATGAAGTTGAGGATGGTGCCTTCCTGAAGTGTTCTGTGTTATTGTCTCAAATTATTTTCACCACTTGTGGGCATAATCAGACACCCTCCCCCAGGGCTTTATCAGATGCACAGACTTCTGATATTCCACAAGGTCATCTTGGATGGGAGATGGCAGTGGGATTTGCAAGAGTGGTGTGGGCAGGGACTAAGTTCCGGGAGGACACTTGAGCATTTATCCCCTAAATTGGAGTCTGGTGTATATTGGTTTCCATTGGTCCATGAACTATGGCTTTCAGGCCAAATCTTGCCAATTGCCTATTTCTGTAAATAAAACTTTAGTTTGTTAATTGTGTTAAAATGCACATAACTTAAATTATACCATTTTAATCGTGTTTAACTGCCTAATTCAGAGACCATAAGCACCAGCCATCTCTAGAATTATTTGTCTTCCCCATAGCAAACTCTGTCCCCATGAAACAATAACTCCATCCCGGCCCTAGCCCCCAGCAGCCCCATTCTTTCTCAGTACAGTACATGGATTTGACTATTCAAGGGAGCTCATATAAGTAGAATCGCACAATCTCTGTCCTTTTATATTTGACTTATTTCCCTTAGCATGATGTCTTCAGGGTTCATCCATCTTGTAGTGGGCCTCAAATCTTCATTTCTCTTTCTGACTAAATGATACTGCATCGCATGGCAGTGTCATATTTTGTCTGTTAGAAGTTGATGGACATTTGGACTATATCCACTTTCTGGCTCTCCGAAATGCTGTTGCTTTGACCACTGTATGTGTTTTTGTGCAGATTCATATTTTCATTTCTGGTGGGTAGATACCCAGGAGTGGAATTGCTGGGTCTCATGGTAGCACCATGTTTAGGACTTTGACAAACTCCGCCACCTCTTACCAGAGCTGAATGCCATTTTCTGTTCCCATTGTGGTGACCAGGGCTGCTGTCTCTCCACCTGCGCCAGTGCCTGTCTTTGAGCCTCCTGTCCTCATAGTTGTGAAACACTGTCTCATTTTGAAAGATTTGAACATCAAGAGTGTGCCCACTGCCATGTTGGGCTCGGTGTCCATCCTGAGTCTCCTCCTTGTTCCTGAGGAGCTTGTGGCCTGGCTGGAAGAGCAGGGAGATGCCACTTATGGAATGTCATATGTGGCTTTGCTGCAGAATTGAGTCTGTAGAGGCTTGAGTGGCAACCCAGCACAACTGCACCATGTCGCTCAGGCAGCTGGTGCTGGATGTTAGCAGGTCTCCAAGCTAGAAGCCACTTTCCTGGGGACAGAATGACTACCTCATACAGGTCCTCAGCACAGACCGGCCCTGGATACTTCCTCACATGTATGCTGGTAAGAAGCCTGTCCTTGGGACATTGATCTTGGAACCAGAGAGCTTCTGAGGCTTGAGTGGCTCTTGGCCCACTTTCATGGAGGGAGCTATCTTGGTCGGAAGGTGCCATCTGAAACTCCCTCTGTACCCTCCTAAGCTTGACCCTGCTGCCTGGGCAGCCAAGGGGAACAGGGTGGAATCCACCAAAGCTCCCTGGTTAACCCACACACCCAGGGTGGCCAAAGCTATGTGTCCAGGTAGGGTTAGGGGAGCCCATGGAGGCTCCTGGGAAGACAAACTGGTAGAACTAGGGCTGGCTAAAGGTCACTCATTGGCTTCCCTGTCCCCATGGACACTGAGGCTCAGAGAGTGCACATGTCCTGTTGTGGAACAAAGATGAGACCACCTTGGGCCCCTGGTTCTGTGTCCAGCACTGGTGGCCTCCAACTGCATGTGAGAGCTTGGGCAGCAGCTATGTGAAGAGGCCATCTTGCCTCAACTTCCCTGTGGCCCTGTAGGCTGTAGCAGGAGGGTTGTGTGCGTCAGGCGGGAAGAGCCTGTGTCCTGTGGGAAGGTACTAGAGCCCTGGTGCATGCATGTTGGTTGGCACTTCTGGGTTGCCAGCCATGCCACAGACATGGGAGTGGGGGGGGAGTTTCCCCAGTGCCAGGCTGCCTCCTGTCAAGACACAGTCTGGGCAGCAGGGTGGCTCATAGCCTGGAGACCAGAGCCTCAGGAATGTGCTGGCCACTTTGCATGGAGCCACCCTGTGGGCCCCCTGTTAGCCTTCTCGGTGGCCGTTCAGAAGCACAGTTTCCACATCATCCCAGGTAGAACTGTTAGCTCCTGCCCTACCTTAGGGAGGGAGATGGGTATGTGGCTAAGTATGCAAAGGGTGGTTAGGCTCTCATCACCTCCTGGCCACACTTCTTAGAGACAAGCAAATGCTACCTCTGTGGTGAGCAATGTGGAATCCTGAGCAAAGCCACAAGGTCACATTTTAGTCTTGGCCCCCCCAAGGCGACAAAGAGATGGGCTTTGTGGGAAGTGTAGTCACTGGAGACCATTTCTTGAAGGAATCTAAAGGCTCTGAGTTGCGACATGCTCT